GGCATTCCCCCGGAGGAGCTGGAGGAAGTGTCTGGAGAGAGGGAGGTCTGGGCATCTTTGCTTAGACTGCTGCCCCCGCGACCCGGTCCCGGATAAGCGAAAGAAAATGAATGAATGAATGAATAAGAATGTGATATGTGACATTTAGTGGGGTGTTTGCTCAGTCAAATTAGCACAAATCGCACTAGCATAGTACTGACAGAGTAGCTGAGTTTTAGTGTTAAACTATTAAAACATAGTTGGATATCATTTAATTTGATGGGCGGTTTGTGTTATCAATTGTTTACAGGGGTATGAAAAAGTTTCTAACCATCCAATGTCAGTTTCTCACAGCTTGACAGTGGGTGGATCAATATGTGCAAAATGGAAAACCTGCAACCTGACCACAATGCAACAGCAAACTGTACCCACTTTCGCACAAAGCCGCAGGGTTTCCTCTGTCTGCATTCAACGTTGAAAGGTTAACTTTGTTTTTTGTTTTTTTAATATGCTATATTTCTCCAAAAAGTGAGTACTAGTTGAAAGTGCCTGACAACTTAACACTGAAACATCATGGCAGTGGTAGTCTAACCTACAGTAAATAAAAAACATGGGGCTCTAGCCTCTTTTTTTTCCCCCCTCTACTGATCAGATCTATAAGTCCAAGACCCAAAACTTTCTCTAAACAAAAAGGAGCAAAACTAAACATTTTGTACTACTCCACAATTAAAAATTACAAATCTTACTGATTGTATATAAATGACTAAACTGTTATACTAGTTATACTGCAAACCTGCCTCGGTTAGGTCGTGTCTATGAAAAACGTTTTGCTTTACACCTACAACCACAGATTTCCGGAGTACAGACTAATTGGTACATTGGGGGTTTCCAAGTGCCAAGTGCTGTGGTTTAAAAGTATTTCTGAATACATGTAATTGGGTCACCAAAACAGTATCATTATTTTAAAAAATTTCCTTTGTGCAATTAATGACTTAATAGTGGCTTGTCCATTTTCAGAACAGCTTAGTTATTGTTCATTCACTCAATACCACTCTTAGATGGAAACAGTGGTGCCTGCACTGAGTGGATTGTGTAAGGTGACGTGGACTCACCATGCGTTTCTGGATGAAGAGCTGGGCTCCCTTCAGGGATCCAGCCATGTTCTGGCAAAGTCTCTGGCGCTCCTCTTCGTTCAGCACCTGGGTGTAGAAGGTACGAACCTGCAATCACACACAAAGACAGGTTAAACTGATGAAAGTAGATCTTGCAAAAAGCAAATCAAGCTCTAATATACACTAAAAATTATAGTAATACATTTTATTTATACTTTGCTTTTCATGATTTCATTCACTCTTAGGTATGCTGAAAACATCTGATTTTAATTCATTGCTATGTAACTACTAATTAACTGAATATTTGTATAAAGAACTGAAGGCTTTTTAGTTGATTATCAGTGATTTTCCATCAGATATTTTTCCCAAGAATTTATAAATGGTGCCACTGTAACATGGTCGAGAGAACAGTCTCCATAGGAAGACTGTTAAAATACGCACACTCACACTTATTTAGGTCTGGTTAGAACAAATGGCTTGACCACAGAAAAACACGCCCATACATTATCCTAACCTGCGTGACATTGTCTTCATCTGTGCTGTTATAACGGGCCACATCTGGAGATGCCTTAGACTTGGACTCCAAAAACTGAGGCTGGTTCTCTGGTGCGCTGAAGCTGTTGGGGTAGTAGTTTGGAGCTCCACCTAGAGGTAAGACAGACATAACACAGGTCAATCAGGCAGGATAAAAAAAAGTTGTTAAGGGTTGTGTTCTACAAAAAGTAGCTGACACAACAAAAGAAAATTTGCTACGGCTTTAAATATGGCTGAAACTGAAACTGAGCCAAGATCATGGTGAAACAGCAAAAACATACAAGGTCTCAATACTATCAATGTTTTGCCCAGGGTAGCTTATATGGTCAGTTTGTATAATAGGTTACAGCTCTGCTTTTATAAACAATGACTAGCACATATATTGTTTTAGCCATCACTTGATTTTTCCATGTCACATCCACGTAAAGATACATTGTCATATCGTTTTGACAAGTCAAAACTGAATAGTCTAGCTACTTAAAAGTGACAAAATGCAACATCTGCAGGGTTTTTTTTTTTGTACTGTCAGGAATTCAATATGCATATCTGTGATTATAAGTTGAAGCTCCAAATAAAGTTATTATCTTGTTCTTGGTACTTGCAGTGAGGGACAGAAGTATTTGAACACCCTGCGTTTTTGCAAGTTCTCCCACTTAGAAATCATGGAGGGGTCTGAAATTCACATTGTAGGTGCATTCCCACTCTGAAAGGCAAAATTAAAAAAAACAAAAAATTTCAGGAAATCACATTGTATGATTTTTAAAGAATTTATTTATCTTGCACTGCTGAACATAAGTATTGGAACACCTGAGAAAATCAGTGTTAATATTTGGTACAGAAACCTTTGTTTGCAATTACAGAGGTCAAACGTTTCCTGTAGTTCTTGACCAGGTTTGCACACACTGCAACAGGGATTTTGGCCCACTCCTCCACACAGATCTCCTCTAGATCTGTCAGGTTTCGGGGCTGTCGCTGAGCAACGCGGAGTTTAAGCTCCCTCCAAAGATGTTCTATTGGATTGAGGTCTGGAGACTGGCTAGGCCACTCCAGAACCTTGATATGCTTCTTACGGAGCCACTCCTTGGTTAT